GTTAATTGACAATTTCAATTATGTATCTTATTCATTTACATTGGGCTGAAATTAAATGATTTCTTGAGAAAATGAGAGACTAATTGGATAAGTTCTTGCATAAAATTTATTACCGGTCACATTAATATTTATAAAATACCAATTGATTATTGCTATTTTATCGTGAGTAAGGTGTTGGCATTTTAAATATCGAGGATTGTAATTAGAGTACAAGAAACAGGTTTATTTAAAACAATGAACGAGGTGATCGTACTCTTTGATGGGTACTCGAAGAAACTGGACCAGAATCGAATGGATGCGAATTGCACTAGCACGATAATTAAGGGTCCAAAGTTTATTATCGTCGACACAATGACTGCATGGGATAGAGAAAAAATAGTTGAAGGTGGTTAATACATTATAATTTTCTTTTTGCAAATAACATATGTTTTACATGCCATTAGCTCTAGCTCAAGAAGGTATCAAGCCTGCGGACATAGATTACGTGGTGTGTACTCACAGTCATGCCGATCATATTGGGAACAATAATCTGTTTACAAATGCAGAACATATAGTTGGGGCGCAGGTTCAACAACGGACAATATTTTATGAAAATAAATTTGAAAATGGTAACACGTTAAATCAGTGGGAAAACAAACTTTATTAGTCAATAAGACGTGAAATAACTCAACTTTTTAGGAGAATACCATATTTCCAATGGGGTTAAAGTTATCGCAACCCCAGGACACACGGCAGAAGATGTAACAGTCTTAGTTAAAACGGAAATAAATGATAAAAGTGTGACTTATGGGATAACAGGTTTTGTAGCAACATCCGTCCTTGTCAATTCCATTTTTTCTTTAATCAAAAATATATTTATCTTCAGGTGATTTATTTGAAAAGGAAGAGGATATTGTTAATCCCACAATCTGGAAAGACCTGGGATTGCCAGAACTTCGGCACATCCAAGCAAAGAATCGCTCTTACGTTATCAATGCAGTTGATTTTATTATACCTGGTCATGGTCCTAAGTTTGCGATTACAAATTCTGCAAGACGCCTTGTACAAGATGAACTTGAAAAAAATACACAACATGATCATTAAATTAGATGATTGATATATAGGTGCAATGATATGGTCTACACAAAAATCAATATGTCTATTAAATTGTTTTATTATGACAATTAGCCACAGTTTTAATAGCCTACATTTTAATATTTTTAGAAACTTCTATTAAAGAATACAATCCTATACACTCGTATATAATACAAAGTTATTACAGAAGTTATTATATACATTTGCAAACTGTTTGTGTATTTCGTATTTGTACTAGAATTTTTACAAATAACTGAAATGAATATTTCCCTCTTATGAAAATATTACCCTCTTAAAATATCCAATTCTTCTGGAGTCACATGCATCCTCAGTTCTTTTTCCCGAATAATATCTTGGATTTGGGTAAGGAGTTGAGGTGCGACCTCAGCTGCATCTGTATAGATGCCTCTTGCCCATGGACAATTTGCAATACTTTCATGATATACCTCTTCTCCTTTTTTCTCACATAAATTATGTTCTCTGAGTAGTAACATGTACAGCCTCCATAATAGTGGACAATGTTGCGTTTCACGTGCCCTTAAAAAATAATTAATGTAAAAACAATAAACAATATTCCATATTGAAAGCAATTTGTGACAATTATGTACTTTGCTAATCTTTGATGAATAGATAACAACTTGTTGAATGCTGGATTCAATTTCATCAAATGTCCTGTATTCCGTAGATTATTAATCTGAACACGTCCCGCTAGACATGTCACTATTGACTTCCATAGTCGTTTATTGTTGCTTGTTCTGTTTATCTTCCATAACGGCAAACTACTCTGTAAATAATTTCTTTGTGAATTTGCAAGTTACTATGTAACGTCATTCTCACTATCATTATTTTTCACGTACCTCCATTTCAGCAAATGCCGATAGTATGTAGAAATTATCTGGATAAGCATTTAAAGCACAATTTATAACCGTTCTGTATATAGATCGACACCTTAGATTTTGTTCACAATATAACTGCAAGAGTGCTATTTCACCTTCGTATAATCTTTCCTAAAAGGAAAATTTATAGATATAATGTCGTATTTAACACATTCCGTGCCACGTGTACCACCGAGGTACGTGTTAAACTCGGCTGGTACACGGTGTAGCACGGAACGTGTTAAATTAAAACGTATATATGTATAAATAGGTAATATGAAATATTCACCTGAAGATGCAAACATTCATTACTGTGTTCAAGACAATTCTTAAAAATTGTTAAAATGTCATAAATATTACGTTGATTCACATATAGAAAGTAAATATAACACATAATCAAGTCACATTCCAAGTTTGGTAAGAAATACGTCTCTTCTATAAATTGAGGTATAGGTGTCTGCAAAAATTGTTGCACGTTATCAAACAAATATTCTTCAACTTCTGCTAAAGAAGACTTGTTTGGTTGTGGAATCATTTGACAAAAAATTTCAAGTGCACGATCCTTATGTGATTCTTGATATGTTTCAGTATTCAGTAAAGTTTCAATAAGGGTCCTGTAAATACTGAAAAGAGCCGCTCTTTCTTCATAATTTGAAACTGACCCTGGATTATCATTTTGTAATTGAATGGCAGTTTTTAGTATATTTATGCACTGATCAAAACGGCCCATTTCTCGTTCTATCAAGGCATACTCTCGATAGAAGTGTAAATTATTTCTGTTCTCTTCTTTTTTTAAGAAATCCTTCAAGATGGTCTTGAGCTTCTTGTCTCTGATGAATAGAATACATATTTTTTGTAGTGATACAAAATAGCTATGTACTTATATTTACACTTATATTTGTACTGTAGCACATTTTAAACTATTAATTCAGATATAATATACCTGCTGTCGCTTTTAAGAGGATCATCTTTGTTAAGATGCACCAGCAATCTTTCAAATCTCAACCACCAAACATAGATACTTGTACGTTGGATATTAGGCAAACCTTCCGCTACAGACCGAAATGTATTTCTTAGAAAATCCAGAAAGGGCTCTTGGGCTGGATGAAACCTCAGGTATTGTGGACCCGATGTCAATCCACCCTCGAATACTCCTTCCAATAAAGCCTTTCTTTGCTTATAGCCAGCCATCTCTCCAATTTCAGGATATGTTAATGGCAGTAACACTTCCGAAGAATCAGCACTCCAATTCAGTTCAGCTAAACCTAAATCCTGTAGAATAGTTAATAATTACTAATCTAATACACTAAAATGATAAAGCTTAATTGGCCATTTGTTTCATTTTTCATGCAAGTTTACCTTGAACATCATATGACGAGATGGTAAAAGTGGAACTTTTAAACAGAGGAGAGCATATATTGCCATTCTGAAATTCGAATTGCGTGATATCATCGGATGAACATAGTCCGCCACATCTTCTGGTAAAACAAATCTTCGAGAATCACCTACTAGTTCGAGCTCTTCACTGCTTACACTTATCCAATGACAACTCTCTCTAAGCGATTCTACCCTTAACCACAATTGATTTAATGGTAATCTCGATGTTAATATCACTTCTTCCATTCCAACTGAAAAATTAAAATACATAAATTAAACTTCATTCCTCCGCCATACAAAAATAATCTTACATTAGTTAACTTACTTAATTTTCTTTCATCAATTGATCCTTGGAAACGTAAACCTTCTTTATCTAAATTAAGATTTAAACATAAATTTAACCGTAGGATTTCCCACATTTGCTCCCAAAGGCCAGTCTGTCTAAGAAAAATTAAGCATCGATACATCATATCTGTTGAGAACATAACATAATCATTATCTGCTCTTAAATATTAACTAAACCAATTAAACCAATATACATACCTAAAATACGACCATCTAATTCAGAAGTAACTTTTGCCCTTTGTCGAAGTGTGCAAAAATATTTTGAAAAATAACTTAAAACTTTAGGTACAGTGCAAATGGCAACAGACGCTTGCATTGTCATAATTAAAGTCTGCCAAAGAATCATATTTTGGGAATCCTTGTTTAATAATTTTTCTAGCTCCATGGAAAATTGATCAGCTGGTAATGTTTCTCCAATTAAGTATAATTTCAGTTTAAATAACTCTGTAGATTCTGGATTCTTTTTTAAAGCTGTTTCAACGATGGATAACTTTCTCTGACAAGATGTCACATAATTATCCCTTGTCACTAAATGGTTTTGGAACTTAGCAAAGAGATCCTATAAATATGTAATGAACGTTTATTGAAATTAAAATTTGGTAATTTGAATAATGTATCCCTATATATATATCTGTAATTACTGAGATTAAATTATGTACCTGAAAGTCTACATATTGTTGCCATAGTGTAATATCATTAGGATTCTGTGTTAGTTTTTCATTGAATTCTTGTGTCCTTTTCTTATACTCCTCTTCTAAATTGACACAAAAACTTGGCAGTTCTTCTTTATTATCAGTATCTGCTTTTCGAGATTCTCTCTTAATGACTGTATCTTTTTTTTTTAATCTCTCTGCATCAAGATTTTTAACATGGTATCTTTGGAAAGAATCTTTTAAAAAATGCTTCCTTGAAATGCATGCTGAATGTCTTTTTTCGACATTATATAATGGGCGAACACGTGAACAAAGAGTATCGACGGTACAGTTGCCTCTATCTCTGTGCCTATCTTCAAAAAATACATTTTTCACATCGAGCGGAGTCTTGCATTTTGATTTTGAACTTCTATATTTTTTTGACTCTTTTTTATGTCTTTTGACATGTTTTGCACTATCAATAACTTTATCCTCGCTGTGAACTACCAATGGAGGTAGTGTTTCAGCGATGTAACTTTCTTGCGCTTGAGATTCATCAGCATCCAGATACTCATCGGACGAAGAATCCGATATTGTAATCGTTGATTTCTTAAGTGTGACATCTGCTCCAAAGCTTGAATTTGACAACCAATTTGTTTTATCTTCAGCTAAACAAAAGGCAATAAATAAAATTACCTATTTACGTATTGGTTAATATATCTTAACAGTGCAGAGACACAAAACTTATAATTATAGCTGATCAAGTTATTTAAACTATTCACACACAAGCATACAATTTAAGGTTAAAGTAATTAATGGAAGTATTACGTTTCTGTGGGATGCTGCCAGACAATTGTGGAGTGCCGTCATTTTCAGAGTATGCAGGGAATAATGACATATTTTCTAAATATTTATAAATCGTTGCAATCACGTCATTGTATCAAACTATCATTTTATTATAATTTTAATCGTGTGGATCCGTGTATCTGCCATTTACGAAGTACATACGCATGTGATAGCGGACAGCGGAAGGAAAACGTAACCTCTCTTATAAACAGCGCCACTTGCAATTAGAGGTTAGAATGTCATCTGTCGCATCCATCACAGAATTGTTTATTTCTAAAATGATTGGAACGAGATATACTGCTTTTGACTTTAAAAATGTTTTAGCATCAACCGTGGAAAGACAACCATTTATCAGCTATTATCAATCCGTAAGTGTATGAAGAAAACGTTCAAATTAAAATGCTAGACTACTATTTAGCCATTAACATTTAAGGTTAAGGGTTTAAGAGTTAACTAATAACTATTTCGTTAAAATGAAAGAAATTGGTTATAAGAATTGGTATGTCATATTCCAGTGACATTGAATATTTAGATGTGAAAGAAAAAGACATAAACAGTGCTATATGATTTTAATGTAGTTGTAAATGAAACGTAATACAATATAATACAAAACTTTTAAACTCATTTTAATACTAATAAACAAAATACATGATTACATTTATATATAGTACAAGTTTCACTATAGTCTTCTTTTAGCCAATAGTTTCCTATCCTTATTAAATTGTATTTATGACTGTATAAAACGTATCATAGCACATATTAAAGAAGAGGACGTTTTTGTATGAATTGTCTAAACCAAAAATATGATGTTACTGCTGACAAACTGTACCAAGTAACGATGTAACTAAAGTGCTCGTTTCTTAAATTTACTATTGTTTGTCCACCAATAGCACCTTTTGATGGTGTATCATTGGCAACCATATCAATCATAACAGGAGCAGCACCAGTTAATTCAGCCATTGCATTTAAGTCTCTAAAACATAATGTTAGTATTTCATAACTCTTTATTAAAAATATTCACATCATTTCACTTATACCTGTAATACCAAACACCAGCTCCTGGAGAATTATGAGGCAAAAAAGGAGGTCGAGTTTCATGTGATCGCACTAATCCTGTGATTTCTACAGTTTTTGGTACTTCACTCAATTCTTCGTGTACTTTATAATTTTTTGGAACCCATCCTCTGTTGACTAAAATTGTTATGCTGGAATAATTTATTAACAACCATTAGTGTGAGTAGGTAAATAAATTATCAACTTTATAATTTTCTTACTTTCGATTTTCTACTTTGAATGGTGTGATAACGTGGTTGCCAATTTTAGATTTTCCAGAAAAAATTCCACTGTTTCCTTGATTTCCATCTTGATGAACAGTTAAACTTTTGGGTCCTACTAGAAATTCTTTGTCATATAAAAATCTTCCTTTTACTTTTATTGGATAATATTCCATTGACTGTATTTCAAACAAACTAGACATTAAAATGGATATGATATTAAAACATTTGTTAAGAAGGATAATACTTTTCATAATAAATATTAACTTACTCTTCAGGTAATTCCTGAGGTTCTGCAGAAGTTCTTAATTTTAATTTTTCCATTAATTCTGTCTTCCATTTTAGTCTTTGAACCTGCCACGTCCCAAGGATGAAAGTAACAATTGGAATGGCCTTATGAAGAAATCAAAGTTAACAGGATCTATTCCCCTTTAATTTTATGCCAGACATAATTCCTCGCTTACATTTATTTTTCATTTATAAAGGGATTTGAACATCGGAAACTGATCATCACTACGTGAAAAATAAGAAAAGCCGAGACTTCTTAAATTATTTTATGAAGTTAACAGACTTGCCAATAAACTGAACCCATATATACCAATGGGTTCGTCATTAGTTGTGTCTTCTTCGGCAGCTTGGCTTGCTGAAAATACGCTGTGCTTTGCATCTCTGTAATTTCTTGTTGCAGTCTCGCTAAACAATCTCTTTCCAAGTATCCCGTTTCTAACTCCATACAGTTTAATTAGGAGTATCAATTCTCGTTGCGTTCCTCTTGTTGACCAACTCGCATTTGCTAATCGCAAAGTAACATTTCTTGCAAGGAAATTCATTTTATGACACTAATCTTGCTACAAATTACTTATAATAAATTGCGTGCAAAACCCGGCAAAACGGAGTCGTACCGAGCAGTACTATAGATGAGTTAGGACATTGCTCACGGGATGATCGCGCTTTGTGCTGCCCTCGGTGGAGAATGCGGCCGACTCGTGCACTTGCCATTTTTTACCACTCAATGGCAGCGCAATTCATTTCATTGAATTCTCGAGAATTTAAGAACACTACTTGTTACATAAACTATGAAGTTATCTACCAATTCGAAAATTCTTTTGGCCGAGCTTTACGGCCGATATTTTATTAGCGTTACAATGACGAGCGATGAAGTGCGAATGAAGATTTTTATTGGCTACAAAGGAACAACGGAATGGGAGAACTTCTGCTATACGTCTTTTGCAGCCAATCAGAACCTCTTATTCACGCTTCGTAGCTCCATCGCTTGTTACTGTAGCGCTAATGAAATATCGGCCTTATCCCTTCGAGGTGCATGAATTCTGCCGGTGTATACTAAAGCTTTGTTTACATATATATATTTCCACTTGTTGAACCGAAGTTGTTAATTGAATATTTCTAATTGTACGAAAGTTAATTTTTAGATTTTAAAGTTAACTAAATGGATCTACACGCGTTTTGCCGATCGCTACCAAAGATAGTAAGTACTATTATTCTGCAGTAGATAAAATTTGGATAATTGTTTATGTTTATGGTTTTATTTCATAACTTCATTTACTGATGTACCCTGTTTGCAGGAACTTCATGCTCATTTGAATGGATCTGTTAGTTCTTGCACTCTTAAGAAATTACGCAAATTGCAATTTTCTGGGGCAGAATTTAATCAAGATATCGAAAATGACAAAGATCCATTGTCACTTGAAGAGTATGTACAGAAAAAAGCAAAATATATTTATGGGTATTCCGTGGAAAGTTATTAATAAATTTTAAATATGGTGTATATATTTTTTTCCATTGGGCATAATCCCATTGATCGTAATTTTTGAATCTGTATGTAAATTTTCTGAAAAATATCTGGTTGGTTTATTTATTTCTCTATATTCGATTTACATATGGTAGTTGAGAGTAAGGAGAACAAGTTGAAAAATTCCTGCGTAGATGATATATCGTTTTCATAATTTAAATACATGTTTTTCTTTGATGCATCTGTGTAATATGGAATTCATTTTTAATCAAATCTAGGTTTTTTGAGAGTATAGATATCGTTCATCAATTGACAAATACTCCAAACGCTATATTTAAAGTATCATGTGATGTTATTAAGGAATTCTGGGAAGATAATGTTATTTACTTGGAATTAAGGAGTACACCACGAGAAGTTGAAGGAAGTATGACAAAGAAGGAATATATATTGGCTATAATAAGAGCCATTGAGTTAAGCATATCTTCTTAATCTTCTTTAGAAATTGGCACTATTAACAGTCCACTGTACAATTTAAAAAATTTTAATAGTCGATCAACTAGTAGATTTAATCTTACTGCTATTAGTTTAATAGATGCAACTGTCCTTTTTATATGCAAATATGATATTTATATCTCAGGCTTCTTTCTTAGGATGTGTAAAATAGAATGTCCTAACATTCTTGTTAAACTTTTAATATCAGTCAATCGTAAACATGGTTATGACGCTGCAAAGGAAAACATTGAACTTGCTATATCTATGCACAAAGAATACCTTGATATAGTCGGTATCGATCTAAGTGGTGATCCAACACAAGGAGATGTATTTATAGAATTATTGGATAAATGTCGTAAAGTTGGTCTGAAAATTTCAGCTCATTGTGCAGAGGTGAATATTTACTTAATGTATTATTTTTGGAACAAAGTACATATATCATTTCATCTTTATCAGGTTCCTAATGAGATAGAGGTAATGGACATTATAAACTTTAAACCAGATAGATTAGGCCATTGCACATGTGTCCATCCGAATTTAGGAGGATCACAGTTGTTATTTGACATGCTTCTTCGATCAAAAATTCCAGTAGGTAAGATATATCACTGGAATATTGCAGGGGATAAATAATTAGATTATACCCACAATATTTTATAACGTATTAATTCGAATTACTATCCTTACATAGAATTGTGCCTGACATCTAACGTAAAATGTAAAACTGTACCTTCTTATGAATCTCATCATTTTAAATACTTATATGAAAATGGACATCCGTTATGTATATCTGTAAGTATATATTTTATCCGGAAATATCGAAACTTTTATGACAAAGTGGAAATCCTACATTTTATTAATGTTGATTTTCATTTTTCATAGACCGATGATAAAGGTGTGTTTAATACCTCATTATCTGAAGAATTTAGACTGGTTAGTCAACACTTTGGATTAAAAAAAGAAGATTTAAATGACATTTCAAAGGCGTCCGTTCAATTCGCTTTTGTCACTGAAGAGGAAAAGGCCAAGTTAACGGCTGTAATTAATAACTTTTGTTGAAGTCATGTCATTTTAGCAATTGCAATCTCGATAAACAAGTACGAAACGTTTCGCTCGAACCGTGATCTACTGTTGAGTAGAAAGTTAAAGCAGTATACTATTGCAACGTTTATGGATCAATAAATCACTGCCTGATTTCGTAATATTTCTTGATTTTCATTAATCATTTTGTTCATTTCAAGAGAATAAGTGGTAAGTCTGTATATAATTCACAGAACAGAGTCGTAAATTACCGACACTCTTTGAATAATCAGAAAACTTCTGAGCAGAATGCTATGACTTCTCTACAACACATTGGCATTTTCTTTTGACAAGGTTATAGTCATCGAATTTCCTAGCAAAACATTTTAACACTTTGAGTGCCGCAGCTCGCTACAACGAAGGTGTTAAAATACGTATAAAAGTAATGTCGATTTTATTCATAATCGTGGAGCACGTTTACATAGATTTACAGATAGTAACTACGCAGCTACCTAAGGACACTACAATAATTAAATGTCATCGGTGTTCTGTGTCTTCTTTAATACTAATATATGTATATATGTATGTATGTATGTATATATATATACAACATTTATAATAATAATAATAATAGTAATAATAATATATCTGCATACGTGATGCGATTCTCGTTTACTTCCGTAAATAAAATAAAATTGATCAACCCTAATGCTGCATGTACCATTTCGAAGTGGTCAGGATCGTCTTTGAGCCACTCGTCCGATCACAATTAGTCAAGTATGATATAAAAGGGCGTGCATATATCGCAACTAATTAAAACGCATCCTTGCGACCTCTTTTCCACGTAATCATTCGCACGCCGACTTATTTGCCCGGGCGTTTTGCATACAATATCCTAAACACAGATTCCGATAGCGAATTGCCGCGACGGAGCAACATTTACGAATCACAAAATTTACAAAGCTCCGCCATCCATTCGTCAGTGATTGCGCGAACGGCGATCGCTCGTGAGAAGCGGTCGTCCCCAGGTTTTCACATTATTCTTCCCAATTCGTGAATAGTGGAAACCACTTGAAGGTCTCGCGCGTAAGAAAAAAAAAAAGAGAAAAAAAAGGAATCTCGAAAGATAACATCTCGCGCTCGCCCAAAAGTCCGCATATCGCGCGAAGGGCCAAAAACTCGGTAGGACGTAATTTTGATTATACAATATCGTTTGGTTTTGCGGCGCAACGAATCAAAGCGGCGTCGTCCGTACTCGCGCGATGGCCGCGAAACATCAGTAACCATGATGATGACGACAATATGTATACATATATACTCGTATTTATAATTGTATTTATATTTATATATATATATGTATAATATATAAAGTTAATCGATAGTAATAATCGTCACAGTAATAATTAACTGCTAGAGTACTATTCATCCTATGTAACAGTCTTTTTGGCTAATCTTCAAACTATGAACAATAAAACACTTTTTTTTTCTTTCTTTTCCCCTCCGCGCCTCGATAATATAAAATCATAAAGTCGAATCCGTTAGCCGTCTCTCTCGCGGCCGCCATTTTGGCTCGATCGTCGGGCGTCCCTCGAGGATCGGCTCTCTTTTCCGGGACGCTACCCTAGTATCTCACCTCTCGCTACATAGGTATCCTATCGACTATGACTAAAACAGATGCTTTACTCTTCTTATATAGCGATTATTGCATACATCCTTGGACGTAGGCGTTTTGTATGATCGTGTCTCGCGCGTACCGAGGTACCTAACCTTACTTCTCTAAGTGCGCCTGACGATTTCGCGTCGCGTGGCTAGGACCCAAGCGGTCTCTTGCGGGTTCCTTCGGGGCTGCTTCGAGGGTTCGGATGCGACCGATTGCCGCGTCTTCGCTCTTCTCGACTCGAAATTGCGCGCGGTCGAGGGGCGAGACCCAGAGTGTAGAAAAGAGTAGCGTATATTTGCGACAGAAGTGAGGAGATTAGCTCGTACGCCGTTGGCGCGATTAAAATTAAGGGCTGCGCTATACGTATCCGGTTTACGCGTGGTCGGCCATTTTGCGTGCCGGGGGGGACGCTCGGTCCTAAACTCCGCGAAATTCCGAGGAGAAACGCCCGTGGGGCTTCGTCGAGGGGGTTGGAACGTTCTTCAAACGGGGGGACCCGAAGGAGGACCTCGGAGAGGAACTTCCACGAGGACGAGGCCTTTGGTCCTTCCACGGAGACTCCTCGGCCGGGGGTGTTTCGTCCTCCCACGGGCGTTTCTCGCTCGCTATGTACAAACTTATCAACGATGCGAAGAGGAATGCCTTACTTTTATTCGTCTCGCGCTATCCGGAGATCGCGATCGTAACTTTAGCGGATGAAAGGCCAGTCGGCAGAAGCGGCCGTTCCGGAAGGGACCGGCCGGTTCGCCCTGGCCTTTATTGCGAGGGCAATTTGTGCCGTTTTGCCCGTCAGTCACTGATCCGATTAATGTAAGGGCATGCACGCGGGAACGCGCGTTTAATATCCTACGTTAAAATTAGGGGGCCCACCCTCGCACGTTCTATAACGAGAAACTGCGGAGGTTTTCGTTCCGCAGCGTACCTAGGAATCGAAGGAAATAAATAAGTTAAGACATTTTGATTTAGCGATAGAACGATAAAAAAGAATGAGAACTGTCGACTGATACTTGACGGAAGAATATATTCCTGACGCGTACTAATACTATCCGGCCTCTGAACTTTCGGTCAAGGTGCTTCCGCCCAAAGACGTCCTTATACCACTTCGCTCCATCGGGATGCAATCGCCGCTACAGTTTTTCGTGAGAAATCTCGATTACTCGTTAGATGATAGAAATTTAGGTAACTGCGAAAATCAATTTCTCCCTTGAAGCCGCCAAGCGAGGAATGAAAGACAAGAGAACGGGTCCGAAATAAAAATGAGTCTCTTTCCCTCTACCGCTAAGCGGACTTCCCGATAAGATAATGGAACCGATGACCGATGTTCCATCCAAATGTCAGATTTTGCAAAAGCAAAATGCTCCACGGATTGAAAACGCATAGATTGTTATATATATAATCGACAATTACTTTGGCAGTGATCGGACATCATCTTCGGAGGATATTATATTTCGAAGGAACTTAAATATACGGAAGCTTCTCGATCGAAAGCCAAACAAGGCGTACAGATCTACTTAAAAAGAAACATCTGTTTTTCATTGCACACAAATCATACATACTTTGCTAATCATACGATTACGATACCATTCGATCCGAAACGGAGAAGCCTACTTTGTTAAGAATTCGCTCGACATTACATAGAATTTGCATCGTGGAAATTGTTGTTAGTATATGGAACAGTTCCCACGGTTGTTCCGTACAGGTGGATGAAAGAGTTTGTGTCAGAAGTCGTTAGAAAAAAAAAAAAAATACACAAAAGCTTCTAATAAGTCTGCTTAACTTGATCCGTCGAAATTGGCGCAACTGCACTTCAGACAAAATAAATTGGCAGCTTCGTTTTGCTAGCGCGTGCAAAGATCATTTTCTCGGGGTTTTGTCATGCAAATTTCGTCGAATCGACTTTTGCGTTTCCTAGAGGTCCTGTTAAAAATTCGGTTGTACTTTGTTCCTTATATTTATTTGTTTCGTGGATCTTTTCTCGGGTCGCGGTTTCACAGAACTGATTATGTATAGTTGATCGTTGCGTTTGAGTACTTTTTAGTATAAATGCAATAAGACACTTCCCTATACTTAGTTGTAGTCAAACCCGTACACGCGTGTCTGTGGAGCCTTGTCAATGAAACACTTTGCAGAAACTTTGTAACGGAGGTAGCGTGTTACTTCGTAATGTCCTCGTTTTACGGTTTTCTATTACTGATCGATTCTGGAGAAAGAAAATATATCCGCAGTTTCTATCGCATAATTAATTGTACATGGCCGAAAGCTGGTAAGACAGGTATAAACGAAATCACTTATTCTTTTTTTTTTTACCATCCACGGTATGTCACAATATGTACTGGTCAAAGATATAATAAAAGGAATACCTAACTTTTTGAAAATTCTCAAAAATAAAACTACTTTAAAACTGCATACAGCGGCCGAGTGAGTGCGATAGATCTTTTGTCCGGGTAAAGACAACGTAAATAATAATCAATGTTTGTTTACCACCTGGTTCAATAAAAAAGAAAAGCGGCATTACAAATGATATCATTTCGGCAATCAAGCACTTAAACGTAACACTTGCAATATTTAGACCGGAGCAATTGAAATTAAAGGAACACTGAGTCGATGGTGTAAACTGTATTACAGGAAAGTAAGAAATGCCCTGTATACAATAATAAAAAGCGTTGTTAAACATGATATGAGTACAAAGCAGCGGTACATGAGCTGATCGATATTTCCATGACTGTACAGGTCTTGAAATGTTGAATAAAAACGATTAAATTGGATAGTGATGATTTCATGTTTTTTCCGTTAAACATGTCATAGGTCGATTGGAGTCGCTCCAATCTCCGTCCGCAGATGATGTCACATCGATGAGACGTCTGATTAATAAAAATCAGGAGAAAACATAAAGATCACTGTACTACTCGCTATACCGTATAATAAAAAATTCCAGGATGGATACTTAGATTCCGAAAAGTAAAACGTAGACTCGGACAAGGAAACCTCGTTATGCCCCGACTGCAACATTTCGTGCGTGTCTTTCAAGAAATTGAGATCAAACGTTAATAAATGCGCAACCCGAAGTGCGCATCACTAACTGAAAGGAATCATCGAGTGCCTCTAAAACTGCCTTCGAATGGAATATATAAAACTAACGTTGATGCCCTACTCCAGTGATTTCCTTGCGGTTTGCTGCACGGCGAGTAGCGTTAAAACACGTAAAAGAATTACATTTTCAAAGAGCGGAAACTGTCTTGCTTGGGATACGTCGCATTCGCTGGATCGCAATTTTCGAGTCGATGCGTTTCGGAGTTAAGGGATGAACTCTTTCACTCGCCGCACTCGTAGGCTGCTCCAATCGGAACGGGCTCTCGTTACAGAAGGATGCTAAGATCAAATTAAATACCGAAACGTTGAATTAATCGAAGTAGGAGCACCCCGTTTCGGTACGCTCACGACACGATACCGCGCGCTGTTTTCGTACTGTTGGTCGTCGTGGATGTTGCGCTCCTGCTGTTGTCCGTCTGGGCGAACAGGACACCCTCGTACATGACTCCGTTTAACTCCATACTGACCACTAAGGAATTGTCTCCGTTACGGCCGTCTCCTGTGAAATAAAAGAAAAATAATCAATTTTAGTCCCATAACGATTGACCGGTAAAGGTGTAATTCCGAAATTCAACCAGGTCTAACGATTGGCCCGTAAAAGTGCCCACTAAAAATCGTATTGACGTTGATAACCAATCGGGAAAATATTTATCTGAAACTTTCTGCAGAAACGAGACGTCAATCTCTCGTAAAGATCTTCTCGAGTTAGAAAACACGCAGATTCTTCCTTCGCCTCCTCGAGTGGCATTGAAACGTGTACAACAATTACTTAATTTTTTATATCACGGCAACGGAGAGAAGACACTTCCCATCTGGTTTCACAGCCCAAGTGATTACGATCTCGTTTTCAGAAAAAGTTGGACGGGAAATGACACTCCATCGATCTTGGATTTCTATGCATCCGTTCCAGATGTTCGCATTGAACTTTCTACTCCGCAGAGTAGGTACAGATACCGGTGAAGTGACTTTGTTTTGGTGACGATACTTCCTAGGTAATTGGTTATCAACTTACGAATTTCAACTGTAATTTACGAAAGTAGCCAGGAATACGTGTTAATGTTTATTCGAGGGAGCTAATACTCGTGTTATTATTTACTCGGCAAAGAAGAACGAACCTCTGTTGGAGATTTTGATGTGTGTACCAGGGAGAGCTCCGAACTTCTTCTCCGTGGGGCTTTCGTCGTCGGAAAGCGACCTTTTGGCAGCAGGTGGAATCGGCGTGCCGGAAAGCTCCTGATCCCTCTTCTGGTGTGCACTTCCGCCGGAGGAAGGTGGGCTTTGCCTGGCGGGAGAGGAGGACATTGGCGAAGACCTGAATACCGATCGAGAACGTGACGTTCAACGACTTTTCTTACATAATCGAGCTGATAAGCGGAGATTAGTCCGCGCATTTGGGACCCAAGGATAACGCCCGATTGCATCCGGATCGCGAGACCAGACTCCGCGTTTTCTGGGAATAACGCGAGCGAGCAACTTTACACCCGAGACGCCGGCAGCCAATTTGCCTTTCAGTCCTGCCATGAATTTCACCCTAACTACCAAATGCCGTTTCAACGAGGGAATACCTGACTGTGATTATTTCCGCAGATTTGTCGGAGGAAACAAACAACGGTCGGTTTTATTGCCTCCGTCGCGTTTCAAAGGCGGCTCGCGGTCCGGCTTAAAGGGTTTCACCACTTTGACGCACCCAAAAATTTTGTTGAAGAATTAAAACGTTTTCATCCAAATTAAAGTACAGTAAGGTATTATACTACTATTAAATTTGCTCACTGCAAAAATTGGTGATCGTGCGGTGGGCACGATAACTCAGTCCAGGTGTAAACGCGTTTTTCTTAAAACTGCATTATAAAAATCGGTGGGCACTCTAACTCCGCCAATTTTTACTCAATCGTCTTGATTCTTTTTTTATTTTATTCGTGATATGTTTATCTAGCGAAATACGTATGGTTTTTCCAATGTATTGATATTCGCAGTTTTTATTCAACATTAATTAACGAAATTTAGGGCAAAATACGTATCTTTCCTTTCGAATTGATGCCATTTTGTGCAAAATGCATATTTTTGAAAACGGCTACGTATTTCGCTAGCTTTTGGGCTACAGATACTAATTCTTTTTCGTTTATTGTTCTAACTTAAACCTGGACTGAGTTATCGTGCCCACCGCACGATCATCGATTTTCGCAGCCCTCCGGTAAATCGCCTTTCAAGCCGCCATTTTTGTAAATAAAAAGATACAAAAAAAGCATGTTTTTCTTTAATAGTAGTACAATTCCTTACTATACTTTAATTGAGATAAAAACGTTTTAATTCTTAAAAAAAAATTCTTGGAAAATCGTAATTTTTGGGTGGGTCAAAGTGGTGTAACCCCTTAACAGAGCTCTCGTCTTTTCGAATACGTTTGGACGATGGAAAGGTCGTCCTTAACACATTCGCGACCGCTGACGTGAATTCACGTTTTTTCGAGTTCTATTCCGTATTGCCGCTGACGTGAATCACGTCTATGACGATACACGATACAAGTTTGCGGCAACCAGTTTCAGAATTTCATTATTTTCGCCGGTACTTGGTATTTGAAACGGAAAACATTTCCCGGTCGCGATTGTGTTAAGAAATCAAACGAGAAAACGATTCCCGGCAATTGCGCCGAGAATACGATCGACGTCTAAGTGCCCACGTTTTCTATTAATGCAAACGAAACGATGTTGAACGTACTGAAAATGGGCTTCGCAAAGTACCTCGGTCGATCGATCGATGAGAAGTCCTAGAGAAATTCTAATCGAAAATGTGACTAAAATTTTCATTCGAGGGTTCGATGGGAGGCCCAAATCCCACTAAATGCGCCGGGCGTCTCACGGAGCGCGGCGCGTCAACGCGTCGAGGATAAACAACCACCCAGAATTGTCCTTAATCACTTCCGCCGCAGTTCTGATAATTTTCCATCTTTGAATCATTGGCGCGCCGCGCTCTGTGTGACATTCGTTGCGTTCGGGAAGACTTCACCTCGAGACTCGTGCTCGGGAGGTATTTCAATGTCGCGTCTCGAAGTCATCCTGGGTCGGAGTGAACCATCGATATGTAGTAGTGGACTATCTATCGTTACATTTCATTTCAGAATATAGAGCAAGATCAGGGAAAGGCTCTCTTACTCACAAGGAAGGTAGCCCAGGTCGATCTCTCCGATTTGATTTCTTTTATAATATGTTATAGTAGATTAAGAACTAAGCGACACGTATGTTTTTTTATCTGCCATTAAACACTTTACGGGGGTGAAACTGCCATCCAAAGTAAGGCCTGTGAGGGGTGGCTTCACCCCTTAATTCTTTTTTTTTTTTCAATTGAGAAAATTATATTTTTCATTTCTCGTTATGAGAAAGCTTTTCCAGGTGGATTGGTTAAAAAATATTATGTTCTTATGGGTGAAACTGCCAAATCGCCCCTTGACATGCTTTACTTTGGATGGTGGTTTCACCCCCTTGAAGTGTTTAATGGCAGGTAAAAAAAAAATACGTGTCTCTTAGTTTTTAGTCTACTATACCATATTATAAAAGAAATCAAATCGGAGAGATCGACCTGGGATACCTTCCTTGTCAGTAGCGTACAGACATTTTGGAGGGGGACAGGGATCCTACAGTAATCTCTGTCTCTCTGAAAATCTCGATTTACTTCCAAGGGTCAAAACAGTGAACGTAGTCAGTCCAGTACTGTATGTCGGTGGAAAGAACCAAAATCGAAAAAGCGGGAGGAAAAATAAGGATAGACTCACCTGAGTCCCAAGTCCAGTGCCTCCCTCTGTGGCTCGGGGCTGGAAGCCGGTGGCAAGGGCGAGTGCGAGGCCTGCGGGGACAGCGGGGGCTGGTGGCCCACCCCGGGGTAGAGGGTATTGTTGTTGTACATATTCCAGAGGGTTAGCCGGGACACGTCGAGGGCGCTGAAAGCGCTATCCCTGGGAGGTGTCGAGGACGGCGGCGAGGAGCTCCCCTGGCGGTGGATCATCGGGGGTGGCGTGCCCGCCCCGGCGCTCCTCAGCTCCTTGTTCAGCAACTTCACGTACTCCACCATACGAGCCTCGAATTCTGCGGGGGCCATGCCGGGAATGGGACCTGGATGATAAATCGCATCGATTAAAAATAGACTTTATCTTCAGTTTTCTTTTCCATTAATTTCATGGTTCAAGTACGCCACCAAAAATGACGCGCGCGGCGTCCCTAGCAACGGGTAGAGTTCGATAATTCTCAGTAATATAAAATTGGAGAAGGTAACTGTGAAAGATCCCGTAAGTTACCGAGAATGTCGAGAATGTATGAGAACGTTGATTTATTTTATTTATGCATCAGGTTTTGTCGTTTAAATAACATTTCCTTTCGATGCACTTCAAAGTTCAAGCTAAAGAGTAGTAAATACCGTTAGAAAATATTGATTATAGGGTTCTTATTTCCTTCCAGCTAAAAATATTCACGTATGTACAAATTCACGGGATATCCCATGCGATTTATTGCAAGACGAGTTGATATTTCATGTTTTCGGCGATGCCGTGCGACGAAGCGAATCAGGGAGGTTCTGATTGGCTACAGAGAACGTACAACGGAAATTCCCCCCTCTCGGATGTTTCTCTATAGCTAATCGGAACCTTCCGTTCACTCTGTTGTAAAACTTTGAATTCTCATCATTTCTCGATATAAAGAGCTTTGAAGAAATTACCGACAAGTTACCGAGAATTTCTCATCGTTCCTGACGTAACGCACCGAGTTTAGAACTATAAGTTCGGTAACGAGCTACCCCACGCTGGGCGCCGAAGTCTCACAGATCGCGTCGGCAATAACTAATCAGGACTGTGTTTAACTCCATGCGTCTTTACGCAGTCTCGATCGGTTGTCGCACCGAGTTGACGCACCGCGCTCCGTGTGACGTCCGACGCGCTCGGCGGAACAGCCCCAAGACGCGGAGCGATCTCTCGGCGAGGGTGGCGCGAGTAAAGAGGAAGAGTCGGTGGACGTTAAATTAAGAGGGTATTACCGTCTAGAAACTTGTTTTTTGAGTAATTTTTAGGAATTAATTTTACGCAAACTATCAAACCTACAGTGCCGGGGTTTTTGACGCATATTAAGACATGTCTCAACTAGCAACACAAATTTTTATGAAATTCTTTATTGAAATCTATACAAGTTATGTGCTGATATGCAGGTCGTTGCGTGAGACGCTCGTCCAATCGGGCACACGGGTTGCGGCGATTCTTAGCGCCTGAAACAGAAGAACAAAATTTTTTTTTAAATCTATATGAATGTAGTTATCGTCTGAACTAGAACTAAGTAGGAAATTTTTTACCGGAATCGCAGCTGTTTGAAAATTAAGGTTTCATTTGCCCGGAAAATTGTCAACTAAAACATGAAAGCGGGGCTAAAATACTCAAGCTATAGGTATCATTCTAGTTCAGACTATAGGTGAAGGTTCCGTCGAAATGCGTGCAGAACCCGAAGTCAATCGGCCCAACAGTTTTTGAGAAAAACGTGTGCCCGACTTGAAAAATGTCGTTTCGAGAAAAACGCGTTTAAAGTTTGCCATACATTTAGCACCGATACGGCTGAACGTACTGTGGATAACAACTGATTTGAGTAACTTACCCTTAATTAATCAGCTATACCGGACCATACCAACCATCTTCCTCAGCTTCAAAAAAAGAATATTGAGCCGCACAATGGACACAACGGTCTAGGTACAATGGTCCAGGGGATGACTACCTGCCGCGCCCCAACAAACCGCAGCTTTTAAGCCTCTGTCACTATGGGAGTTCTACGAATTTCAAATTAATATTTTCGAGACACATTCTCAGTACCCCGAAACTATAAGAAAATACAAAAAGACAAAATCGAATTTTTGAAGTTTCTAGACGATAATACCCCCTTAACGCGACGCCGCTCGTCGTTGATTGGCGTCGGTCCGTCAGCCTCGTCGAAGAAGAGGAGGGTAATGGGGCCGAGGGCGAGGGCGAGAGCCCGTTTATTTGACCGAGGGCCTCGAGTTCGCCGCTCGATTCGACGCACGGACAAATGGCTTACGGAAAACGCGGGGAAATTAGTCATCGGCAGCGCGCGTCTCCCATTAGCGAACCTTTTCCCAGCATCGGTCAACGCGAGCGTTCTCATTTTTTTCCGGCCGCCATCTTGATCGAGGCGCGCGCCCCGGAGTCTCGTTAAGGTGGTACGTCTCGGATCGCGATCCGGTGCACGTAGCTCGCGGAAACGTTACATATTCTCGGCGGAGGATTGCGTTAACGCGCGACACGAGCTCGAATGTGGCTTCGCTCCAACAAAATCACGGCAATGTATCCACAAAGGCCCCGAAACGACGTGCGTCGCCGGCTCGGCGTATATCCGTTACCGTGCGCCATCTTTGACGCGTCGACCACCGCCCCGGATAATCGGAGCGTTTCGACCCGTTTCTTTGGGAAAAGCAGTAGAAAACCGGGAAAAAAGCGCATCCGCGGAGGGCGCCGTCCCGCGCCCCGGCGACTCGACGGTGAAAATTGAAAAAGGGACGCCAGGGCGAGGGTGGAAAAAGGGGCCGGAGAACGAAGCCCGAAGGACGCCGGTCGGAGCGGGCTGGAGCGAGAGGGAGGAATAGGAATGCTCGTTAGCGAGAGTCATCCGTTAACGCCTGTCTCCCGGGGGATCGTACAATCAATTACGCCTCCTTCGCGAGCATCATCATCTCCGGGGAGGCCCCGAGTCCTAACTACCGATTTAAAATAAACCCTCGCGCTCCTCGCCCATCCGGCCGCGTATCGCGTATCGCGCGGCCGGATGAGCTGCGCAGGGGAAGGGGACCTCAGGGACCGGAGATATTATTACGATCCTCGCACAAAGCATCTTCGGCGGACAAACGAGACGAGCTCATTTCCTGATATTACTTCATCTTAAACGACGTCGCTACAAGTGGACACTCTCAGAGGAGCTCCGGGAAGAATAAAACCACCGCGATATAAACCGTGCAGAAATGTTTCGCTTCGCGTTTGACGTACGGTAATAATTGATCCAAGTATCGATTCTTCGGTGACAAGTTTGGCTTGAGATGCAATAAGCCCTGCGGAAATGATTCGTTTCGCGTTTGATCTGCGAAAGTAATTGAATCAGGAATCGTTTCGTCGGTGGCGAATTTAGCACGCTTTTAGTCAAGTTGAAGTTCTCTTTCGATTGTTAGATTAGGTGTATCGTACCTTGCAGAAATGTTCGCGTTGAACCCACAAAAATATTGAAACCTAGTATCGTTTCGGTTGGGACAAGTTTACCGGAAATTCTACTCGTAGTTGCGATATTCTTTTCTAACAACAAATTATATATAGCTCATTCGTTCGAGCAGGGACGACAGTATGTTTTTTTAGCCATTGCCCCAACTTAATTTGCTAATTTGGCAAGCATTTTTTCTAGAGTAAACTCTCCAATACCCCGAGAAAAAAATGTCATTGAACCAAAGAAATATTTTGTTAAGGGGGTATTATCGTCCAGAAACTTCAAAAATTCGATTCTTCTTTGCATTTTCTTATAGTTTCGGGTTCTGAGAATGTGTCTCGAAAATGTTAACTTGAAATTCGTAGAACTCCCATTGTTACAGAGGCTTAAAGGCTGCGGTGCGTTGGGGCGCGGCAGGGAGTCATACCCTCGATCGTTGTACCTAGACCGTTGTGTCCATTATGCGGCTCAATATTCTTTTTTTGAAGCTGAGGAAGGTGGTTGGTATGGTCCGGTATAGCTGACTAATTAAGGGTAAATTACTCAAATCAGTTGTTATCCACAGTACGTTCAGCCGTATCGGTGCTAAATGTATGGCAAACTTTAAACGCGTTTTTCTCGAAACGACATTTTTCAAGTCGGGCACACGTTTTTCTCAAAAACTGTTGGGCCGATTGACTTCGGGTTTTGCACACATTTCGACGGAACCTTCACCTGTAGTCTGAACTAGAATGATACCGATAGCTTGAGTATTTTAGCCCCGCTCACATGTTTTAGTTAACAATTTTTCAGGAAAATGAAACCTTAATTTTCAAACCGCTGCGATTCCGATGAAAAATGTCGTACTTACTTAGTTCTAGTTCAAACGATAACTACATTCATATAGATTTAAAAAAAAATTTTGTTCTTCCGTTTCGGACGACCAGAATCGCCGCAACCCGTGTGCCCGATTGGACGAGCGTCTCACGCAACGACCTGCATATCAGCGCATAACTTGTATAGATTTCAATAAAGAATTTCATAATAATTTGTGTTGCTAGTTGAGACATGTCTTAATATGCGTCAAAAACCCGGGCACTGTAGGTTTGATAGTTTTCGCAAAATTAATTCCTAAAAATTACTTAAAAACAAGCTTCTAGACGGTAATACCCCCTTAAAATATTTCTTTGGCACCACTCAAAGAAGTACTTCTTCGGTACAATCAATTCGTTTTTCAGTACATCTAAGTTCGAAATGACTGCGAACATTTTCGCAAACATCTTTTTTTTTTCCGCGTCAATGTTACAGATTCCGGATTTAATGTACGATGGAGATGTAGTCATTCAGCGAATGGCATAGGTGCAAGTTGTACGTTCTCTTGCTCGCTAGGCGGCGCCACTTGTCTTTGCTCGCTCGTTCCCGAAGACTCGGACAGAGGGACTCACCGGCGTTGGGTGGCTGGCCCAGCGGGCCCTGGGGGTGCTGTGGGTGCTGAGGGTGGTGCGGGTGGTGCGGATGGTGCGACAGTGGCGTGTGCGCGGCGCTCCCGTTGACCAGAGCTTGGGGCCCGTGATGCTGACCACCGGCAGCAACGGCCGTCACCAGGGAGAGGGGTGACATCTGCGCGTGCAGCGCCAGGGAGCTCGGGGTGTGCGAGCTCCTCTGGACGAGGGCGTCCCCCGCGGAGGCGCCGCCCGCGTACGCGCCGTAGCTGCTCCGTCGGCCCTCCCGCCGGTTGCCGTCGATCGCCGCCTGGAGTTCCGCCGGCGTGGACAGCCTCCTCTTCTCGCACTCGTATGGGTAGAGATACTTCATATACCTGGACACACAAAACCACGCTGTTATCATCTCGATCCGGAACACTCGAACGTAAACTCGATGTGCACGAAAAACACGCTGACCTTAACACTATTTCTACCAAAGGTGTCAAAAGACGCCTTTTAAAATTTTAACTTGAAATTATTTTCAAAGTTTAATAATTTTTTCTCAATTAATGTTTTGAATTTTCGTATAATAATTGTTAAATTTATTTAGCGGTATCATTTTCCTCCAGCTCAACAAAACCTTTTGGTCGAAATAGGTATACACAAAATCGTGGTAGAAATAGTGTTAAGGTGAAGTGAAACCCCCTTCAAATCAGTTGATTCGAATACAACGCTTTCATTTAGGGGCATTGGACCAAACTGTCCGAAACTTTGACACATGACTCGTGATCACCTATGCATTGTCCTGACACATTCAAAATTTGGAATTTTGGAAAAGATTTTTTAACTTAGCCCAGACCAGAGCCAAAATGGCGTCGAGTTATTATATGTCGATCGATATACAGTTATTGAAGGCTCTGATATGAGAAACGAAAGGGTCAGGACAATTTGACGACAATTTAGAACACTCTGGTAATCGATAAACTCGCATTTGTACGGGATGAAGGCAAGAAAAGTGTTTTGTGCGCTTCTATGCTAAAACGATGGGAATACGAGGCCTCGGAGTGAAAATTTGATTGACCTGGAAATCGCAGATGGCGCAGAGGCTCCCTCTGCAGTCAATTAGGGCTCCAGAAAGCATGAATCCAGAGGATTTCTGGAGTTTAACTTCGATTTTTTTATAATTATTGTACGAAAACGACAGGTAGAGTATGCCATTCGGTACAATACCCAATATAATTCGACACAGCTATCAATGTAAAAACGAACGTCGGCAACGTATGTATTTAAAAAAGTCTTTATCCACGTCGATCAAGTTCCTCGACGTGTTTCACTTCACATTAAGGAGATACGAAAATGGCATCCGAGGGATCAATCGTTCATGAAACTTTTCTTCGAACTGGGTGCACCGAATCGTTTCAAGCTGTGCAATGTGAATATGGTGGAGGCGAGAAAGGGCCTGACCCCCATGAAATTTCATTTTTTTTCTAAACAAATGTTAAATATCTAGGAACAAATTAAAAGGAAATTGATATTTTGTGGGAGTCAGGAATTTCATCAAGACCTCTATATTCACGTAGTAAGTTTGAAAGGATTCGCTACACCCTGTTCGGAGAAAAGTTTCATGAACGAGACCTTTTCGGCATCACTTTCGCGTCGCCTTAAATTCATGTCTAATTGATACCTTTATCAACATCGGAATACCGTAACGCAATTTGTTTTGAGCTTTTTATTATACTCGTGATTCTTAACATCAAGTCGATTTCGGTACACGGTAAGTGTAATCGGTTTTACACCGTTGCGGCACATGAAATCTTGTACTTTTGCTTGCTTGATCCATGGAGTATTCACTGCTCCGATACATCCATTGTCATGAAAACGCCTAAGACAGGTACGAGGGTTGTTGCGTCTAAATCGATCCTATGTAATTTCCATTCGAAGGTATCTTGAAAAGTGGAATGGAAGAAGACAGACATCGTCGTCCTTCCATTCCTCGGTTTCGAAACGGACTGATTTGCTTCTCGCGTTGTCCTACACCGAGTGGTTCACTTTTACGAGTACATTCCAAGTAACGAAAAAGCTGCGAGGGAAATAATTAGAACGCGTTCGTCGACATCCGTAACGCGTACCGTTTTCGGTAAGTGGAAAGTCACGCAAAGCGGCTCGGCGGAAGGTGCTAATCGGTCCGATTAGAAACTCGTAGGTTAGGCGAGACATCCAGTCGTGCAGCCTGGAGTATTTCGGGCGCACTCACCGAGGTACCTGACCTCTTCGACAAGTAATTACGTTATAGAGCGCAAAACGCGAGTTTTCCCGGCGACGCGAGGTCGCGTGGACACTTTCCTTCGGGTCACAGCTGTTCGTCTCCTCGAAACGACCGGTCGCGAAAGGACGATCCTGAAATATTGCTTATTTCGTGCCGGGTGTCGATTCGAGCCGGACAAGTTGACTTCGGTTGCGTGCCGAATATACGCGAAGGATATTCCCCGCTCTTTCGAGACGTCGCCGAGACGAGGGCCCTTCGTCTTCCGAATGTCCTCCGCGTGGCAGCTTCGCGTTCCTAAGGGGATTCGAAATCGCGCCGAGCCCGTTACAACCGCGAGGTCGAAATGAGCGGTCTCCCCGAAATGACTGCGGGGAAAAGGATGATCCTTAAATATTGTTTATTTTGAGCTAGTATCAATTCGAGCCGAAAGGGCCAGGCCGTAGGTGCGCGCGGCCCGGCCGCAGCCTATAATTCGCGCGGGCATTCTTCGGTTTTTACGATTGTCTGGCCAGACTGCGAGCGAAACTAGCTTCGGACGCGAGCCCGTACTCGGCCTCCCATTCGTTCGATCCGAGTCGGTGTGCAGGCCCTCGTGTCTGTATCTTAGCGAGCACATATTCTATTATTTACGATACGGGGGGGGAAGGAGAGAGGGAGACGGAGACACGTCGATGCATAAATCTGCCGCGGTGATAATCAAATTCACGCTCGAACCGTTTATCGCTGGCCGGATATAAGTGCATTGGACACGTGAGAGCCTTTGCAGTCCTCGACCGTTAGAGACATTGAAAGAAGTCGAATCCAAAGAAAATGTGACTCTACTTTCTAGCCTGGACTATTCGGGACGTGGTCGTCAAAGGGAACGACGGTTTAGTGGAGGAACTTCTTTCCCGATGTCTGGGAGTCTGCCCTCTTACTTTCGCGAAAGGAAAAAGGATGTCGGAAACACGCTTAAGGTGTTCCGAAAGGATCGTCGTTCTATATTTATCGAAACATCCAAATATTTATGAAACTTTCCTTCAAATTGGGTGCACCGAATCATTTGAAACCTCACCGTGTGATTATAGGAGCGCTATGGAATATCGCGGTGCTCGTGAAATTTGATTTTTCAACAAAAAATATGTCCTTGGTTCCAGTTTGGGATAGATACTTTTTGTTTTTTTGTTTTTTTTTTATGAAATTTCATGAGCATCGCGTTCTTCCTTGGAGTCTTTGTAATTCCGTAATGAAGTTCCAAATGATTCGGTGCCCCTAGTTTGGAGATAAGTTTTATAAATATTTTCAGATATTCAAAACGAGCCTTTCATAATGCCTTAAGGCGTCGGTCGTCGAGCACTCGTCTCGCCGCTCGCCGAATACGCGACTCGTGGCCCCGGTAATTGCACGCGCCGAAAAAGATATTCGCACGCGAAGTGCAAATTCTCATATGCACGACCTGTCGAATGAGCATGTTTGAACAGCTCGGCAATTTCGACGCTTCTTTTCCGCAGGACTGTCATCGGTAAATGATAAATTCCGCGAGACTTCCCTGCGTTGCGGCGAATTCAATATGGCGGAAACGGCAATGGGTGGAGGCCGAGGGACATCGCGCGTAACCGAGCAAGGCGTTCTCCATTTTGGTTGCGCGCTTGCTGAACGCTAACTATGAGGTTTTATTTAATGACGGTGTATTACAGAAACCTCCCCTGAAACGTTCCGAGTTACCCTACAGGGGATGTGGCCTTGTTAAGGGCCGTTGAAGTGGGACCATTCCCTGACATCGCCTCGGGCGGTGAAAAATTGTATTCCATAACCAAGATGTTTATTACACCGCTACACATCGATCAGAAATCATCAACCATTTTCAGTTGGCAATGGACTCTGTTCTCTTCCACTTTATCGGCAGGGGGCGGCGTTAACATCCGGGGAAGAAGCGAAATCGTCGAGGGGTTATTCACTCACGTAATCGCACGTTTTAATGCCGGAAATCGCGTAATTAACTGGGAATCATTAGGAGCACTGTTGTAGAATGGAACGTACTGAAATTGCCCGAAGCCAGCGATAACGGTAAAACTCGTTAAGAATCATTTGAAATCAACGTCACCCCCTACCGAATTACGTTTTTTTTATCGCATAAACTCAATGGCAAAATCAGTTTTAGAAGTTTGTCTGGTTTCCGACTGAACAGCCCTTCGGAAACCGTTCATTGATCGACGTAGCAAATTTTAAAGGGACGTGAAAGTGGCAACTGGGGGGTCAATCAATCGTGAAACATTTTTCCTAACTCGATGTACCGAACCGTTTCAAACTTTACTACGGGAATATGGAGGCTATGAGGAAGGTCCCCACACCCGTGAAATTTCATTTCTTATACTACATTTTGAAAATGTCCAGACAAATTTTGTAAACATTAAAACTTCATGGGTGTCGGGACCTTCTTCATAGCCACTACATTCACGGTGTAAAGTTTGAAAGGATTCGGTACCCCCAGTTCGGAGGAAAGCTTCATAAACGAGACCCCTTTGACGAGACTTTGACATCACCTTAAGAATCGTTTGATCTCAAATTCGCCAAGGTGCAAGAAGAAAGGTGCATCTCGACGATGCTTCGCCGGCGTCGTTAGCGGATTCGGCCATTATTCCGACATCATCGGAGCGTCCTTTGGCGAAGAAGATGTCTGCCTCTTCTCTCGGGTGCCACCGCCGACGTCCGGCCGTCTCTCGAGAATCAATTATCGAGCTATTGCGCTCCTGAAAATTGCCGGCGAGGCCGCGTCCCTCTCTTTCTCTCTCTCTCTCCCTCTCTCGCGCCCTTTCTCCGGCCATCTCTTCCTGCCGGAAGGTTTCTCGGTCTACGACGAAGGTTCCGGTTTTTCGCGAAGCTTAGCGGCGTCGGCGGCGGCCCGCCGGCGAAGTGTGACGGTGGGTTTCGGTTGCCCGACAAAAAACTTGACGATCTACTTACTGAGTGCGCAGAGTGAACGCGGCGGACGTGATGCTCGACGGCAGGTGCAGACCTTTGATGATTTCCTGCCAGAGCTTCTTGTTGATAACATCTACCAGGCCGCCACGGGCTATCACCAAGTTGTACAGCTCGTAGAGATCCAGGACGGACTTCGCCATGATGGGCAATCGGTTGATGGGGGTTCCTGCGGAGAACACCAGAAAAGAAAGGAAACGATTAGCGGGCACTCCCTTGACCATCCACAAGGAGCCGCAATTTCCTCGAATCAAAAAATGCGGTAGAATTTCGCGCCAAATACATATATAAGCGCGGTAGGCGCGGAACGCTCACGTGGCTGTTATCTGCAAACTTGAGTCAGACTGGACAGTAAATATTGTTTCGCAAAATTTCTGCGTTGTCTTAACATTAACTTCAATCGGTTCATCGGGATCAGGGTGTTTTCTGCGATTATTAACCCATGAGCTATGTAGAACGTTGCAAAAGTGCAAAGTTGCGAAATTCCTGCGTTGTTTTAACGTTAACTGCAATCGGATCATCGAGATCGGGGTGTTTTCTGCGGTTATTAACCCATAAGCTATGTAGAACGTTGCAAAATTGCTGCGTTGTTTTAACGTTAACTGCAATCGGATCATCGAGATCGGGGTGTTTTCTGCGGTTATTAAGCCATGAGCTATGTAGAACGTTGCATTTAATACCGAGACCGGGAATAACTTCGAGACGAGCTCGAACCCTCCAACGTGCTCGAGGGCTCGCAATCTTCGAGCTCGGCGCTTCGATTTCGGGAATTGACTGACGGAATTGCTGGTTCCAGGTTAACCTTTAAATGCAAAGTAGGAAAGGGAGAAGGTTTAACTTCTCTCCTCCGTCGAGGCGTCGTTTGGAAACGTGAACGCTTCCAGCTCGGTATTAAGAGATCAATGAAAATCATCACGGAAGGGCTTGGTCTCGGGAATGAAAATCAAGACCAAGCCGCCCCCCAACGCCGACAATGTTGTTTCTACCGGTGATTTCTCCAGACCCGGCCGAGAGTTTCGAGTGCACGTTAAACATCTCTCGTGGCAGTTCCTGTTTGAATAGGACGAGTGAAAGTGTCCGAGCCATCATCGGTATCGTAGAAAATCCCATCGCGACAGGTTTCGTTCCCGACAAAGCGAGCATCGAGACCGAATTAAGCCGAGGCAGTTATAGAAAGACCCGCGATCAGTGTAACTCGACTCCATTGACTCCGCGGTGGTCCCCAATAGACAGTTCCTTGACAAAACTAGAAATACACCCCAGCAAAGTCCAGCGAGCGAAGAGACCTTCACAGATACCTCGCCCAATATCGGCCATTAGCGTAACGATAAGAATTGGCCGATCGAATCGCCGAACGTCGACGCCGTATTAAATTTCCTGCACTTCGACGTGTTCTTCCCGTTCCGCTTGTGAGATATCCGCGAGAGCCTTTCCTCTCCCTCGAAATGTAGGAAAAATTGGAAAGCAAATCACGGAAGACCCTCTAAATGGCATCGCCAAAGCGTCCGATGCGTCCTCGCGATTGGTCGGCTCGCGAATTCGCCGGTGGACGCGCCGCCTACCTACACGCGGGGCATCGCGTAAACCGTTGAATTTTACGAGTTGGCCAGGAGTTTCAAGTACAGGCGTTAACGAGAGAGTAATAACGAATTCGCGACTATCACGCGAGCGATGTGGTTTTACGAGGTTGCAAACGATTCCGGGGCCTCCTCTCTCGTCGGGCCGTCGAGAGAGCCGTCGAGAGAGCCGGTGGCCGCGCGGCCTCGCGTATCGCGGTATCGTTTATCCGCCATCGAGGGCGAAGGGCCCGGCCGCCATTCTTGCGAGGGCAATAACGCGTCGCGCCGGGGTAGGGGAACCGGCAATTTCGGGCTATCGAGCTTGGCCCCTCCGGCTTTATTATTGGCCCTGCAATTATCGTTGATATACGCGCCCGGCAACCAGTTTAATGCCTCTACGTTATAGGACGGAGGGATCGGTCTCGCTGGCAAAATGGCGGCCGAGCTCCGCCGCGCCACGCCGGGGTGACCTCGCGCGCGCGCGCACGCGACTCTCCGACGATGGCAGGCGTCGCGACGCTCCTGCTTTTTCGAGCGATCCTGGGTACCTAGGTATCGCGCGTGCCCGAAACGGCTACCGATCGGTGCTCTCCGCAGATTCCCATCAGAACTTCGACTTCAGGCTTTTAATGGAGGTGTCGGGGTGATTTTGCGGACGGATCTTGCTCGACAGAAAGAACCGATCCCGTCGTTCCCTGTTCTTAAGGTGAATTGAAAGGATCATTCTATATATGTCAATACGTGAAAGTAATTATAAAACTTTTCTCCAAACTGGGTACACCGAATCGTTTGAAACTTCAGCATGTGATTATGGAGGCCGGAAGGAAGACGCTCATGAAATTTCATTCTTCGACAGAAATATGTGTCCTTAGTTCTAGTCTGGGATAAATAAAAGAATGTTCCTTTGAGGAATGAAATTTCACGAGCATCGCGTTCTTCCTTCCGGCCTCCGTAATCACGCGTCGAAGTTGCAAATGGTTCGTTGCACCCAGTTTGGAGAAAAGAAGTATAACTATTTTGACGTTTTGATTTGTATAGAATGATCCTTTCGTAACGCCTTGAAGACAGAAAAACTGGACGACAACAACGGTTATCGGATATGTACTTTGAATTACTTTTATTCCTCTTTAAGGTGAAGTGAAACCCCCTTCAAATCAGTCGATTCGAATACAACACTTTTTTTAAAGGGTATGGACCAAACTGTCCGAAACTTTGATACATGACTCGTGATCATCTAAGAATTGTCCTGACACATTCAAAAAATTTGGATTTTTGAAAAACATTTTTTAACTTAACCCAGACCAGAACCAATATGGCGTCGAGCTTTCATATTTCGATCGATATACAATTATTGAAGGCTCTGATATGAGAAACGAAAGGGTCAGGACAATTTTACGACAATTTAGAACACTCTGATAATCGATAAACACGCATTTGAACGGGATAAATTAAAAAAAAAGTGTTTTATGCGCTCCTATGCTAAAACGATGGGAATACGAGGCCTCGGAGTGAAAATTTAATTGACCTGGAAATCGCAGATGGCGCAGGGAGTCCCTCTGCAGTCAATTCGGGCACCAAAAAGCATGAATCCAGAGGATTTCTGGAGTTTTACTTCGATTTCTTTGTAGTTATTGTACGAAAACGACAAGTGGAGTATGCCATTCGGTACAGTTCCCAATATAATTCGACACAACTGTCAATATAAAAACGAACGTCGACAACGTAGGTATTTGGAAAAATCTTCTTTATCGACGTCGATCAAGTTCCTCGACGTGTTTCATTTCACCTTAAAGTGCGTGCCGTGTAGCAGGGGAAGATGGCCGCCACCCGTTCCTCCCCTTCGCTTCTGGAGCGTCACCGCGATTCCTCCCATCTATCTCTACATAGATCCGCAATTTTCCGCGCCTTTCGAGAAGCGTTCGGAAGATGCGCTAAGTGGTGTCGCGTTACGACAGTGGCCAGCAAGATGGCGCTGTCATTCCCATTCCCATTATCCGTCTGGACGGCCGCGGTCGCGCCGCCATGTTGGCGCTCGGCGGGACGACCGATAGTTCTTCCGTGGAAGGACGCTTCTTTGTCGTCGCTCGTTCGCGCTTCTCCTGCGCCTCCGGAAAGAGGTATATTCCCGGCATAACTAGACTCGAGGGTTATTTCTCGCTCTTTCCCGTCCCGACTCGCATCTAGCGGCCAACTAATCTCCGCTCGGCGACGTTCCACACGCCAGCGCGGGAAACGCGAAGGATAAAACCGCAAGCCAGACGCGATTACGGAAGTGGCTATGGGAATCGCGAGAGACGCGCGACGCCGATGTCCGAGACAACTCGCTCGTTGTCGCGAACAATTGGACATTCCGAGGGAGCCGGCGGGGACGAGTCCGCTTTTGTGAAAGCGTGGCTTCGCGCGCGGCTCTCTACCGGAAGCTCTCAGCAGGGACCAAAATGGCGGCGGTTCGAATCGCAAGGAGTTACGGGCGTCCCGATCTAAGGGAATCCTCGGTGACTCGACGCGTGGACCTCGACGTCGACGCTTCCGCGACGAAGCGTGGGGCCGTGCAAGAAGCTGCGGACGTGGCGCATCGTCGCGAGCCTGCGAAAAGTACGCGAGAAGTACGCAAGGAATACCCGGAGAATACGCGAAGGCAGCCTCGGCCGCGGCCGTTTTACGAACTGCTGACTCCGTTGCGGGTATCCGGCAAAAGGAACGAAATAAAAGGCACTTAGCAAAGTGAGGTTAGGGACGCAGCGCGCGACTCCGCGGGCGCGGCGGCCGAGGGGCGGAGGCGATAGAGACGGACGGAAGGTGGAGAAGGCCAGTCGGAGAGGAGACGTCGGAGGAGCAGGAGGAAGCGACGAGGTCGTGGTGGTGGTGGTGGCGGCGGCGGCGGTGGTGGTGGTGGTGGCAATGGAAGACGGGGAGAGAAGAGGTCTCATTGTTTGCCGCGAGAGACCGGGAGAGAGGTGAGGCATTTCAGGATGCGATTACGACTTTTCTTGGTAGGGCGTCCAATCAGCAGTTATTTTTATAATGGCCGCCGCGTCCCGCCGTGGTACCGAGCCACGGTGGCCATTGCGCACGCCTCCTTCAAGGAAAGAAAGTGGCCCTTCCCTTCGGGCTCGAAGGTACGCGTGCATACCTATGCAACCGCGAATCAGCGACAATGGACGCGGCTAAGCGCTCACGCTCGGATTCGCCCGTTATACTCCCGTGGCCGCCGATCGAAGAATCTGGATCGACGCAGGAAGCGGTAATGGGGTCCGAGGCTCCAGCAGCGCCGGCCCCTCCGTTTCAGGTAAAAACCACCGACATCCCGTTTCTGTACCCTCGTTTTTCCTATTTTAGATTCAGGAACGCGCAGAAGCTCGGGGGGCGGACGGAAGTCTCGCGGGCTTTTTTAAATCGTATCGCTGCACCTACGCAACGATAACCTAACCCCGGACGCCGTGATTTTGTTCAAAGCTCGGTTAGGAGGGATCGATCGTTAATCGTTAAGCGTCCGAAGAGTTTGGGAAGACATCGAAGAAGAAGCAAAGGAGTCGGGGAGAGGAAGGAGGGAGCTCGGCCGGGCCGTCCTGGTCGAAGAGGAAGGCGGCAGGCGGGGAGGTCGGGGTAA